GTAATAAAATAAAAAATGACAAAAACCAAACCCTATATATTTTTGTTAAATGTCAGTTTTATCAATAGTAGCCATTATAAAAGTATAAGTAAAAGGAACAAGAAGCTATACAATAAGAAATAAAGCAAACAATTCAGTAAAATATACAAATTCAGCGCTCAAATATATGAAACTTCACTTAGCCCTCAGCCAAAAAGATTTTTAGATTCACGAGACCAAAGATCACCCGTTAGGTCTACACAAGACGAATTATCTATCTCATGTTTACCCACTACAGAGACGTCAAATTCAGCGGCAAACATCAGAACGACTAGCCGAGGAAAGGCTGTTCCAGGTGGGGAACATGAGCGCAGAGCCCCCGGTGATTGCCTGAAATGGATCTCATAACCTGGATCAAATTATCATAAATCTTTATAAATAAACCATAGATTTGAGCTTTAAACAACTACATTCTCACCTGAAAAACTCTTAAAACTACATTTCGTGACACAACAGTAGTATTATATTTCAACTGTAAATTTAAAAAATGGCGCTTCTAATAGCCCTTTCACACAGAGATTCCGGAAAATACACGGATAAAGCGACCCGGGATTTGACCCGGGTTCGTTTGATTTTGGTTCATTCACACTGCCAGTGATTTTCCGGAATCAGAGAGTGCGTTCACACACAACCCGTAAAAATCCCGTAAAGACACGTGACATCGATGTGACATGTAATGTCTCAGCAGCGTGTATAGTTTGCTTATGAGCTGCGATTTCTCTCTGGAGAAACCACGCTTGAGCATTTTTTTCTCTGATTCGATCATAAACTAGCGCATTACGTACCGTTTCACTAGCCTGCTTTCACTTCACTTCAGCGTCATCATTACGACACGGCATTGGTTACGGCTTTTGTTCACACAGCGCGCGTTCCGGGACTGATCCCGGCAATGTTACTAGGTCCCCAACCCGGCATCAATCCCGGCTCGTGTTTGCGTTCACACAGAAGGCGTTCTGGCAATTTCCCGGCAATTTCCCGGGATCAACGCGCTGTGTGAAAGGGGCTTAATGTTGTCATTCCCTTTGTAGCACGTGCGAGTGACGATACTCTGTCAACCAATCAACTTTCTGCAGTGAGTCTAGGTCCACCCTTTAGTATCGTACCACTGTGCTAGGTACCCCAATGGAAGTGTACCCAAAAAGTGGTACGATACGGTTCTGCATTTTGGTAGCATTCACAACTTTTGACAGTGGAAACGCAAAATTGCGTAGCGTGCTGTATTATACCGCTCATCTTTGCCGAGATATTCCATCCACCTCACAGGTGTGGCATATCAAGATGCTGATTAGACAGTATGATTATTGCACAGGTGTGACTTAGGCTGGCCACAATTAAAGGCCACTTTAAGGCCCTGTCCACATGGAGAACCGTTTACCTATATACGTACAATTTTTTGTATCGTATTGGCGTTTCGTCCAGACGGACCCGTCGTTTTGGGACACTGAAACCGCTATTTTTTTAAACCGGGTCCCAGAGTGGATAAATTCGTTTTCGTGTGTACGGCCAATCCGTACATTTTGTGAAACGATGATGTCATCACACCACGCGTCAGCATTAGTCACACACTGCTACGTCACACCTAACAGCAACAACAATGGCGGACTATATGCTTGTGATCGTGCTGCAGAAGCTACTGAGCCTATTTGGACCTTGAACCGTTTGGGGCCCATTGAAGTCCATTATATGGAGAAAAATCCTGGAATGTTTTCATCAAAAACCTTAATTTCTTTTCGACTGAAGAAAGAAAGACATGGACATCTTGGATGACATGGGGGTGAGTAAATTATAAGCAAAAGTTTTTTTTAAAGTGAACTAATCCTTTATGTGCGGCTACCATCCAGCGGTTGTTGTGATGGATCTTCACAAAAAGGCGGCATTTAATATGCCTGGTAGGTCATATCAACATTTTCACTGTTTTTACTTATTTAAAAAGTTTTTTTTTTCAGGTGCCCGTCAAAATCGTTTTTTAGTGTCACCATCATACCACTACTGGGCTCCTTGGATTGGTCCCAACACCAGAATAGAAGATATAGTTTTAAATACTGAGTATGCCAAGATGCACGCTCCAAGACCAGCTACTGAAGATGCCGAACTTCAAGTTACAGAAGAGAGGCTAGAAGAAGTGCTTACCAATCTAAAGGTAATTTTGTTGTTTTGTTTTCTACATAAACAAATCAATATATTGGATACTTTTTTATTGCAACCTTGTATGTGTAGGTGGATGTGGTGCGGCAACTTTGCAAGCAATGTGGTCTGGACCCATCAGGTTCCAAAATGAATTTTGTTCTAAGACTTAGGCCCCGTTTACACGAAGGGAAAACGCAGATATTGGGTTTAGGGTAGGGTAGGGTGGGGGGCAAGAACTGGGCCCTCATTAAATTAAATTATGGAATAATTGTTAAAAAATAAATAAAATAGGCATATTTGTGGAAAAAATATCCAATATTCGAGTTATATAAAAACTTTTTATTTGTTTTCTTCCTAATTGTCCTTGAAATAGTGGTCAAGAAACTACTTTTTAGAAATATTTTAGTCCATGTAATGTGAATAGTGTTGTGTTCAACAGGGTATTGCTTTCAATATAGTTTTCGTTTAAGACAGCTTAGAATTGTATATTTATTAGTGTAACCAAAACATATTTATTTTCTTTTTTATTGGGTTGGGCAGTCATCACATGCCCCTGTGGAGTTGTGTATTCCCTGAAGTTCCTTCTTCAGGCAGAGTCTCCGCGGGACTATAATATCAATATCTATGACTTTGCCAAGGGGCTTAGCCACACACACTAACCTTAGGGAGCCAGAATGTATCCCTTTCAGACCTTATGGGGGACGACTAAAAGAGCCTACTTCAGAAAATATCAAACTAGCCGTTGAGGGTCAACTGAAAGTAAACCTCCTTTGGTTGAAGAAAAGAAGGACAACGTGGATCCAGATTGTCACCCTGTTACAGGTTCAGCTGAAAATTTTGCACTTTATGATCTGTTTCATGAAAATAACACAAAAGATGCTCGAGATGCACTGCGTAAAATTCATAGTCCCAGAATTGGCAGGCTGGCTGAACAGTCAATGTGCTGAACAGCTTTTTTCTGACATGAGAAAAAACAATTACTTCCTCAACACACTCACTCCATCTGGACATATTTTCATGATGCGAAATATACTACAGCATTACAACACATAACAAAATAAGAAGATAGAAGATGGCATCAGAAAGATTGTACCACAAAATGCCCAGTTGCATTTAGATGTACTGCATTTTCCGCACTATAAGGCGCACCTTCAATGAATGACCTATTTTAAAACATTTTTCATATATAGGGCGCACCGGATTATAAGGCGCATAAGATACTGCAGTCAAACTTTATTAAGCGTTCTGAAAACTCTGTTCACTCCCATGGTAACGTTGTTCAAACGTTAAAGGAAAACTCATTTTTTTGTAAATTTGGAGTGCTGTCAGTACAGATAACAACGACAAAAACCGGTGTTGCCTACAACGTGTTATCCTCTTTTTAAAATTTGCACCCTGTTGACTTCAACGGGACAAGTTTTAAACCTGCTTTTAGCCTCTTAAAGTCCCCATGAATTCAAAATTGACCATACTTACTTTGTTTGCCTAAATTGATCGTTTTGTGGTGAACAATTCATCCATGCAAGTCAATCCACACAAAAAAAAATTTTTGGCTTCGTAATCTTTAATCAAAATCTGAAATTTCCCCTCCCCTCTGCGTTGGAGGACCTTCCCTGATGACGTAGGTTTCACGGTTTGGGCGTCTTCTTAACATCCGTAATCACGCCCCTCCAACTGACAGTAGACAGGCTGAATGAAAACACCTACTTTTCTAGATCCAATCAGGTGCTAGTTGGGAAAAAAGCCACGCCCACCATTTTGCCTCATTTAGTATTCCGTTTCTCTCGCAAATACGTCACAACACTGGAGAAAAGTCGTTTGCAACTTCCGGTTCACGGGGACTTTAACAACCTTAATGTGTCATTACAAGTGCACAGCCATGTGAGTGAACACGGTGAATCTGACTGCAGTAAATGTGAAAGATATGAATAAAAATGATGTTTATTCAGCCACCTCACATACCCGTATTTTCTTCCTGGTTTCGGTCGAAGTCCACAGTAGGCGATTGTCGAGTGCGCGCGCGATCATTGGTAACTAAGCAACAGTGGAGACTCAGACTGTCAGCTGTCAGCCGATGACGGTGCTGTGTGGTGTTCTGAGAATATCAGCTCAAATGGATAGTTCATCCGAATGACCGAATCAGATGTTGAACACATGGAGGAGGTTTGATTGCGCGCGCGCGCGAACTCGACAATCGACTACTGTGGACTTCGGCCGAAAACAGGAAGTAAATACGGGTATGTGAGCTGGCTGAATAAAGAGATTATTCCTGCCTTCGTGAAAGCTCGGATCACAGATGAGACTGATATATCAGCCCAGGCATCCACGATCCATTGGCAGATAGTGGCGTAAGTTGCCCGGCGCTGTCTCCCCGTCTTGGTGAACGTGTGTTCACCATCCATATATAAGGCGCTCCGGATTATAAGGCGCACTGTCTTTTTTTTTAGAAAATTAAAGGCTTTTAAGTGCGCCTTATAGTGCGGAAAATACGGTACATGACCAAATAATAATGGGTAACTAATACATTTTTATTTCTGCCATGACTTTTCTGTTGGTTATATTACAATTTTTGTTTTATTGGTGCTACCCCAGTAGCCACAACCTCAGATGGGACAACTGGATCTGTGGCTAAGCTGATGCATGCGGAAAGGGAAATAAAAGACTTCCGGCGCTGGGAAGGCCCGAAAACTTTGGTAAATTTCATTTTGACAGTATCCAATGGACCTTTTGATTGTCATTTCACCAACACTTGTTCGTGCTCCACAAAATAACTCAATTGTGGGGTCAGGGAAATTGTGGAGAGTGCTGATATGTATTTTTCACTTTCCAGCATTTTTTAAACCATTTACCATGTTATAGGGAAGCCTCAAGAAGTATCAAGTGGATTACATGCAAGGTTGTCCCCAAGGACCACTGGATTCTTATGGTATAATGTCTGACAAGTCACTAGCAATTTGTACTTTGTAGAAATTTTGCCTCGTTTGTATTCCTTGAACAGCGAGTTTGTGGATTTTATACAACCTTGACTTCACAATCACCCTGTTAGATTTTACTTCACAATAAAAACAGTCGGGCCGTCATCCCTTACTTTTTACCCACTACATACATATATACCAAAATCAAAGACCTAGATAAATTGAAGAACTGGGCTTTTGGGCCATTATCTTTTCTTTTGTTTCTCTTTTTTTATTTGTTCACAGTTGCCAGCATCTGTTCTGGAGGACATTTTTATTGATGTGGTTCTCCAGGAGGGTGATGAGGCAATTTTGAAGCTGGCCCTTGTGTGCACTCGCTTCAGAGACCTTGTGACACGGGAAGGCTTCAGGAGACGAGCCCATTTCCTTTGGCTTGACAGTAAGTGTTAATTGCTTGTTAACACTGTGCAGTCAGAGTTTTTGGATAACTTTTTCAAAAGTGACATATTTTTTATAAAAATTCAGGTGATTTTTGCTTGATTGGCTGGTTAATGAATTCCAGCCTTGTGTATTTTTGTATGATTTAAAAAAAAAAAGTTTTATTTGTACAGGTGTCACAAATTGAACTGTTTTCTCACCGTACTACAAGGCGGAGTACTACAAAATGTACAAACCGGAAACGTGTAGGCAATGTGGAGACGTATACAAACACTGCACTCCAAGTATGCCTTGTTAGTTGTTGCCATGGAGTGTTTTACTTTCAATGATGAATTAAAACATTTAAAAAATAATGAACATTGAAATATTTGCTTGCTTTGCTAACCCACAGGATATGGAGGTCGAGGAAGAAAGGGGGAACTTTTTAAAATTATAAGTGAAGACACCCACCCAGACTTCTGCAGCGAGTTCTGCCAGATCTGTGCTGACCAGTGTGAAAGGATGAATAGCTAATTGTGAATGTCTGGTGGTTTCCCTGTAATGTTTGTGTCATTCTGCGCGTGCTCCCAATGTGGTTTTCCTTATGTTTTGCCTTCAAAGTTTCCCTACTGTTTTCAAAATGTCTGTTTTACCTAGTGTGTTAATAAACGTTTTTTTTTTTTTTTTTTTTTTTTTAATTGTGCTGGTAATGAATTTTTCATGCATTTATGTAAGTAAGATGCTCTTATGTTATGTAAATTAGGTCAGATTCCCTTGTGAAGTCATTTATAAGTATAAAATTAGTGCTGCTATAATTTAGTCACTTAGGCCGGAGACACACTGGCTGCTGTTTTAGTTTTAGTGTCTGTTGCGTGTCAGCTGCGTCGCGTTTTCTGTGTCTTTGCACACCAGAAACATGTCTGACACGGCGCTGCTGCTGCTAGGTGACGTACAGGGACGTATTGTGGAAATATTGTTAAGCATAAATATAAAGCCTACTGATAAAGACACTGTCAGCAGTATTGACAGCAAAATAGACTGCATAATATTTCGTTCTGTATTGACAGGTGCAATATTTGAAAATTGATCATTATTTATTTTTAAATTATATTTATATCTGAATTTGTCAAAACCTAGACTTTCAACCATCAAAATGTAATTTATTAAAGGGGTCATATAATGCCATTTTTGTACAAGCTAATATGATTCTTTAGGGTCTAAATTAAAAGTTTGTAATATACTTTAATTAAAAATTCTCATTAGTATTGTAAGAAAAGACTTATTTTACCTGGTAAAAAACAGCTCTGTTTTCAGCACACCGTTTCAGTGTATATGACTTTAAATGATAATGAGCTTTGCTGACTCCGGCTCTCTGTTCTATGCACCAGAGATGGCTCTGGCGTACACCGTTTGCAACACAATAACCATAACACGTTGTTCAGTATAAACGTGGGATTATGCATTATATTGAGAAAGTCATACATAGAAAACATGCCGTAATGTACCCTGAGTGTAAACCTTAGACGCATTCATTGTGAAGCGTGCAGCTAGCGATTTACAAGGATTAATATAAAGTTTAATAAAACGTTACACTCACTTCAGTTCTTCTGGAGCAGCTGCAGGAACACGAATATCTGGTACCGATCCTTTCATGAGCTTTCTTAGCAAAACCAGCTTTATACTGACCCTCGTTTATAAAGCAGTCTGGTGTGTGAAATGATTCGCGCAAACATGAAAGCATTGACGTTGCTCGTGGGGAATATTCCCTTCGAAAACAAACTCAGCCACTGCGTTTTCGGCGGTTCGGATTTAGGAACATTAAAATGACTGCTGTGTTCGTTATTACACCCAAGAACAGAACACCACAATCGCTTAGACGCCATTCTGCTCATAGACAGTGCTCCAGCATATCAACAATGACCGCGCCGGTCCGCGCAGACTATGATTGACAGCTCCCTCATGAGCGAGGGCGAGTCTGTGTTGAAACGCGGCTGTCATTCAACAATCGTGGGAGGGGCGTTCGAGCTTGTGACGTCACAGGCTCGAACGGCTCGATTTGAGGCAGGGGAAAACATAAAAAAACCACTGGATGGATTTTTATCATTATATGATGGCTGTGTACAGACACTGCCCACACACATTTCAGTACAATCAACTTGTAAAAGTTGATTGTAACAACATATAAACATCTTTTCCTATTCTATTTTGCCTGGAAACGCTTCCAACACGCTTGCGTGTCGCGTGAAAAATAGGTGTCGGTTCTATTTCTAGCATGCATGCGTTTAAGACGCACGTGTCACGCAGGCAGTCTGCAAGCTCTAACCTGTTAACATGGGAGCCGGAATAAAAACGGACACGCCACGCAGCTGAGACGCTTACGACACGCAGCCAGTGTGTCTCCGGCCTTACAGTTGCATAATCAGCTGTGGAAAAAGCACACATATTTTCTCCTTGAATTAACCCTCTGGGGTCGGCGGTATCGCCGGCGATACGAGCTCACTTTTTTCCTTATCAGTGCAAAAGAGACTCAAATTACTCTGTTGATTTTGATCTTACATATAAGTGTTGTACATCATTCGATCCTGTTTTTTTGTGGAACCTCATAATAAAAACAAAGTGTTGAGCTTTTCGCCAAATAAAGAAAAATAAACAAGATGCGCGTTCTGCGTTCTCTCTGTCAGTGAAGTCCATTCTGAAACGCCTCCAAAAAATGAACTGTAACTAAGTCAATACTTGCCACAGAGACACGAGACATGTGTCTTTTTAAAGCTTGTATTCTCTTCTTTTAAATGAAGTAATTTATTAAATAAATAAATATTTCCAGTTTATGTAATCCGTTTGAAACCAAGGAGAGGTACAGTTTTTTCGTTCTCAGTTCATTATCTTTAATGAGCCGAGGCCGCCACGCCCCCAGCGCTTTTCACATGGTAAATAGGTGATCTAACGTTATGCATCGCACACGCCCAGCGATTAATGGCATAAAAACACGAAGTTTCATCACTGATAGATTCATTGCGTTTTGAGGATGGCACGGTACTCCCGACAAAGAGGCCCTTCAGATGATTCTGGACAGCGAGGAAGAATTCACTTTTCCTCAGAGGAAGATTATAACTCGGACGAGGAACGGCTGCATTTTGAAGAACGAATTGATCCCGCGCCGAGGATACAAGTTCGGAGTAAGTTGTTTAGTCTTTTATAATTTCTTTTCTGATCTGATCGTATAGAGCTCAAATGAATTTTCAGACTATATTTTGCCTAGCTTTTGACATCTTACAGAAAAGATTGCCTCACAATATCCCTAACATTCGCTCGTGTAAACTTTTTAAATGTGATATAACTCTCTAAACATATTTGTATATTAAATATATAGTTTTGATTAGCTTATGACACTGATTATCATGCTAAAATACTGCCTTATGCGTTATGTATTTTGTTTGCGAATAACTACATGTTTAGGTATAGCCTATTGATTTAGTGAAATATATTTCAGCCTCCGGTAAAATATGTGATACTGTCTAAATACAATATATTTTTGAAAGGATGTGTTAAGTGATAGTAATGACTTTAAGTCTTTACGTTCTTAGGAAAGATTTCTATTTTGAATAAATGCTGTTCTTTTGAACTTTTTATTCATCAGTGAATCATTCTTAGTTCAGGCTGCCTCACAGCACCTTGATGGGCCATTGGGGGAGTGTCTTTAGTCTTCCCACCCAGGTGTAAATCACATTAATATTCATGGCCATTCACACTCCTATGCATACAGCAGTGCTGACCAAAAACTGACGTAAGAAATTTAAATCATTATATTGTTGTTTGTGAAAGAGTGGTCAGAATGATTTTCACTTCATTTTGAAGTAAAAATTCTAGCCTACAAGAATAGTAACTCAAAAGTCTTGTGGACAAATATTCAGTATGTGTTAAATGGCCTTATTGCGGTGACCTTTTTTTTTCACCAAAACGTACTAACCATGCATAATATTTTTTTTCTATAAAATGCAAACATGTACATCCATTTTGCTCACATATTATTGTAGCAGAGTTGTGCTACAATAATATTGTGGCAAATGGTATGTTTTAAGTAGCTGAAATAAGCACAAATGTCAGGGCATGTCAAAACATCTCAAGGGCCCCAAAAACACCTCAGACCCCAGAGGGTTAAGCAAAGTTTCCAGCAAGAGATTCCTGCCAGTCCTGTTCTCTATATTGTAAGTAAAAGGGATACTTCACCTCTGGGAAGATGAATGTGTATTTATTAAAATTGGTCATTTATATAGTAGAAATGTGAAATAATTTTTGAAATTAAAGCATTCTAGACTGAGAAAAGGCAGAAATTTTTTACTCATGTGGCTGAAAGACAACAACTCCCAGAATGCACTTGCTTTGCTGCCCTTACGAGGCCACTCCCAAACCACGCCTACCGGTTACAGGCGGCAGAATCCGAAAAATGGATACAACTAGGCTTGCTTTGATACATCTCCATCGAAATGGTGCTAAATTGCGTTGTACCGGGATGTACTAGCCTAATGTATATAACACAACTTAGACTTTCACATTAAAAATATGATGCAAGGCAGGACCATATCAACAGAGTAGCTTAGTAGCTCTGCATATGAACTGTTTTCCTCCAATTGAAATCACTATTTCTCTAAGCTAATACATTATCTAGGCTAATCCATACTCTAGTAACACTAAAGGTTTACACCACAACCACAACCAATGTGAGTTATAACTTTTAATAAAAAAAATAATTAATATTAACACTTTTAAACTCAAAGCTCTGCGGATTCAGCGATCTCGTCCAGAAGAAAAGCACAGCGAGAGCACTGACACCGCCAGCCCGCTCCAGCTCGAGTCTGGCCGGGCTCAGGTCTCGCTCCGGCCGCCTCTTGTTCCTCCATCTACCGCAACTGTTTATTGTTGTATTGCGGCTAGTCCAGGTAGCTGCGAACATCAGATTCTCGCAACAGATCTTCTAAATCCCCTTCTGCCATTTCAACTTCAAAACTACCTTCCGCCCCTTAGGGAAGTCATTTTGAACAGGGTACACGGCGCCACTTAAATGACGCGAAGTGGGACGCACTTTGTGGATGCTGCGTGGGGCCCCGTGACGACCCTTCCTGAAAGGGGCCGTCCCCAAGGACCCCTGAGAGGTGGTCCCAAGACTCTAGACCCCCCAGGGGCCATATGGGAGGGGCCAGAAGTTACCTCCCCAAAACCGCAGTTCGGGCATTGGCCACCAGGTGGCTCACCAACGTCCCACCCGCAACCTATTCGACGGGCGTCGAATAAGTCAGGGGTGGGCGTCCACGGGTTGCCTAAACATGCCCCTGACAGCCTATTCACCCTTACACGCTCCACGCCATTGGCCGAAGTCGCGGGGTGGGCGGGGCCGTCCACGGAGTGCATATATGTCCCCTTACAGCCTAAATGAAGCCAGGGGGCGGGGATCGATCATGTGCACGCCCCCTGTCCACGGACAGGCTACACGTCCCCCTTACAACCTATTCACTCTCACACGCCCCACGGCATTGGCCGAAGTCGCAGGGTGGGCGAGGCTGTCCACGGAGAGCCTATTTGTCCCTTTACAGCCTATAATTCATTCCTTTTGTCCACTAAGTGCCTACTGTGTACCCAGACTGACTATTCTTCATACCTTTGTCCGCAGAGTGCCTATGGTGTC